TTTTTGAGACATGGTCTTGGAACTCACTATGTAGACCAGGCTGGCCCTGAATTCACAGAGATCTGCCTGCCTCTGCCTCCCAAGTGCTGGGACTACAGGTGAGCGCCACCACACCCAGCTAGAGGTCTTTATTTTTAAAACTGAAAAAAAAAAAAAGCTTCTAAATCAAAAAATAAATAAAAATTTTAAAATAGTGTAATGACTGTTTTTAAAAATCAGCCTTAATTAAAACCACTCTGGACTACTTTTTCTTAATTTTTTCAAAATATGCCATATTATATATGCTTTATAGATACCAACTAGAACCAGTCTCTGGGGTGCATTAGAGAAATCATTAAGCAATTTACTTGAGTAGTTACAGACTGAATAGGTAAAACAACATGCTTACATGTGTTCTGGTTTCATTTTTATGGCAAATACCCTGACAAAAAACAACTGAGGGAAGAATGTGTTGATTTGCCTGACAGTCCCAGCCTGCAGCCCATTACTGCAGGGAAGTCAAGGCAGAACTTAAAGCTTCACATCTACAGTCAAGATCAGAAAGAGAATTAACACATGGTCCTTGCTGGCTTGCTCACTTGCTCAGCTAGCTTTCTTCACTCTTAAACAATTCAGGTCCTAGGCCAAGAAATGGTGCTGCTCACACTCAGGGTGGGTCTTCCCACACCTATTAACAATCAAGACACTCCCCCACAGACAATCCCACAGGCCAGCTTCATCTAGATATTTTCTCAATTGAGATTACAGGATGATTCTAGCTTGTGTCAAGTTGACAGTTAAAACTAACTAGCACCACAGATTAATTTTAAAGATAAGAAACCATAAAGAAACACAGGCCATTTACAATTGATGAGTTGGAAGATTTTCAAATCACTTCCAAACAATTAGTGTAGACTATTCTGGTTCCCACCGTCATTATAAGAGGCCTCAAAAGTCTATAAAACTGTGAAAAAAAATATCAGTTTGTTTTTCAAGATTTAACTGTTTTGGAAAGTCTACTTTTGTACAATTACTATGACCCAAACAGCATTAGCATAAAAAAAAATCACGTGATTTGATGTAAAATTACCATGACCCAAACAGCATTAGCATTAAAAAAAATCACGTAATTTGATGTAAAAAAAAAATCAACAGATCACATATAAACTCTGATTTAACACCCAAATCTTTCATAATGAAAGATTCTCTCAATGAGTTTGGAGTTGTCCCCATGGACCAAGTTAGAATGCATTTCAAAACCAAATTAATATGCCAAAAAAGAATCCCAAACCATGAAAACAACATACATTATTAATGAAGCAAGAATTATGAAGGTAGTTTTAATATTTTGGATTCTCTCTCTCTGCATTCTTATTAGATCTTTACAGACATTTTCTCTTCTGATTTAAAAAGACTGCCTGATTCATGAGACGGAATTAATGAAAATATTGATGAGCACCCTGTACTGCACAATTCTCAGAGTGTGGTCACTTCAGTTTGTTTGGAAGATGGTGAAATCAATTTTAAATGTTACACTGCATCAGAGATAACTCAACATAGAAAAAATATTCCCAGACAGTAAGATTGCCATCCTGGTAGGGCTGAAGGTTTCAGCTTTCTGCAGTTTGCTGAGACCCAAGACAGTATACATGTAGTTTGTTTTCCTACTAGTGATCACAAATGCCATTCATGTACATAACTATTCCCTGAGAGAACAAATAGTTTTCTTTTCAAAGCTCCATGTCTGCCTAGTATTTCTGAATGAGTGTTCAGAAAGCTCTTTGCATTTACTTAAATTGTTGTTCATAAACATAGATGCACACTAAAAACACTATTCAAGTGAAGAATTTGGTACTGGGTTCACGTTCCCTATTGCAACATTCTGTCCCACCACACCCTCTCCTTTCTCCGGAGTAAGCGTCCTTTTCAATTTTAGGGCAATCACTCCTTAATTTATACTTTTTCCGTCAATGCATACATTTCTAAAGAGTATTTCTTTTCCAATTTGAGAATTTTAAACTTTAACTGAGTGGAATGACACTATAGAATTTTTTGATGATGTCTCAATGTTTTTTGCTATTTGTCCACATCAAAGTCACCAGTGGACATTTCCCAACTGTTTGGTGTAAGAAGATATAAAAAAATCATGGCTTATCCAATCAACAGCTGAGGGACACTGGCATTATCTCCAGTTTTAAACAGGCAACGTATTGCAATGAATAACCTTCTGTGTGATGTCTGCTATGTATACAAAGTACCTTTCTAGGGCAAACATCTAGGAGAGGGGTGATTGAGTCATAGGATATGCACAAACTAAACTTTCCCAGTGCCAAGTGAATTGAACCAGGTATACTGCTGGCGGCTGGGAAGGAGAACCCTGCTGTTCTATGTCCTCTCAACGGTGGCACTGTCAGTTGCTCGAAGGTGAACCAAGCCTCCAAGCTGAGCTCTGTCCCAGTGTCGTTCATTTGTATGAACCTAATTATTGTAAGATTAACTAAAGGTGTTTTCATTGATTATATGTGCTGCAAAAATATTCCATTGATTTATGGTTGTCTTTTTATTATCTTTGATTTTTATTTTTAGTGTATGTGTATGAGTATTTTGCCTGTGTGTATGTAAGTACACCATGTGTGTACAATGTCCATAGAGGTCAGAAGAGGGCATTGGATCCTCTGAAACTGGAGTTACAGATGGTTGTTAGCCACAATATGGGGCTAGGAGCAGAACCCAGGTCCTCTGTTAAAACGTGCCTCCTTTACAGACCAAAGGGGAAGCCTGCTGTGTTGGCCAAACGGTGGCAAAGTCTGCTTTTGACTTCAAAGACCAAGCTGCTTTTCTCAGGGGCTTGCTGAACCTTGAAGCCCTCTTGGTGAAGGGGCAGAGCTAGCTGAACCCTAACAATATCCTTCCCGAATTTACAAATTATGTATTTATGCTTCAGACTGTGACACTTCACATCTAACCTACCTGGAATGGATCTATAGGGAAATCTAGTTTCAGTTTCATTTTTCCCACAATCATCCCCATAATAGCTCCTCTCTTCTCCCATTGATCAAGGCCTTTTGTAATTTGTCAGATGCTCATCTTTTCTGACACACTGCTGCCTCACCTGGAGGTGTTTAGCGTTTTTATACCTTTGGGTTATCTTTCATAAACCATTTAGAATTAACCATGTCTCACAACTGATTTATATCTTTTAATAGTCCCAGGAAAACATTTCTCATTTTTGCATTCCTTATGTATCTTCATTCAAAACCCTACTGAGCATGGATTACGTTTTCCCATTCTCTTCCCCATGACTGTCACATATTTTCTACTTCACATTCTCTTCTTATTTCCCCAGTGTTAAGTCCCCATCCCCAATCACTGATGCTTTTCTTCAGTTCTTTCAGTCCACCAATTCTTGCACAATTTGTGTTTAATTGGCTTCTAAATTCTCCCACTGAGTTCTCTCTTTGTGAAAGTTGTGTGTTAACTGAGAAGGTTTCAAGGTCTTTTACGAGTCTTTTCCCTTCCTCATAGTCTCCAGTTCTCTTATTTCTTTAATTATATTAAACAATGTCAGTTTAATTGTGTGTGCAATAACTTGGATAAATGATAACATTTTTGCCCAATATATGGTTTCTGTAGGTCTTAATCTCTCTCTGTGTCTCTGTCTGTCTGTCTCTCTTTCTCTGTGTATGTGTGGTTTTATTTTCTCTTGTATTTTTAGTATTACTCATTCACTCTTTGAGACTTTACATGCAGAGATTCTTTAGAAGGTGATTAAAGCTGACATCTTCTAATTTCAATAGGAAGGAATCGATTTGTTTTAGTTTCTTACTGTTATTACTAATGACAGAGCATTTGCATTAAATTCAGCAATTGCTGAATTTTCATCTTTTCAGTGTATACACAGTATACATTGGCACATCTCTCTTTTTCCTGTAGGTTCAGCGATGTACATAAATGGGCTGAAAATATTTATAGTCCTTAAATAGCATTTTAATAGATTTGAATACAAAGGTTAAACAAAGTACCTGGTTTTCCTGACATCATACCAGAACTGGTAATGTACACATACCATGAGGCCTTTTTCCTACTACATTTTTTTCCCTAACCCATAGTTAGTGAACTGTTACAAAATATCTGCCTTGAATTCAAAGCCCTTCCTCTGAATATTAGAGGTCTATTTACAAGGATTCAAAGTAATGGCAGTTCTGGGATTAGTCACTGGATTTTGTCATAAATGTAGCTAGATGATGCTTTTTCATTTTTTTTAAATGTATTTTTTTTATTTTGCATATGACTGTTAGGCCTGTATTTATGTAAGTGCACCTGTGTCCTGCAGTGCCTGCAGAGAACAGAAGAGGGTGTTGGATACCCTGGAACTGGAGTTATAGACCATTGTTAGCCACCATGTGGGTGCTGGGATTCAAACCCAGTTCTTCTGTAAGAGGGGCCAGTGCTGTTAACAGCTGAGCCATCTCTTCAGCTTGCCACCCCCACCCCCGAGCTAGATGACCTTGATTATTCACAGATAGACCCTAGATGACAGAGAGCCATAAAATAATAGTGAAACTGCAACACACCAGGTTGTATTTAGCTGTTTTCAGTTTCCTCAGTAAGTGACTCTGAGTAAGAACTCTGAATTCCAGAGCTTCATGGAGAGCACTGGATACTACCTACAAGAAACCATCCAGCATACTATTCCTTTGCTTCCTTATGATTTGCTCCTTGGGTTACATCTCAGATTCTGATTCTCCCTTCAAGCCTTGCATGGATAGAATGATAGGCCCTAGTATCAGGCTCTCTTTCTAATCCTTCCATTCCGTCCTTACTTCTTGGCAATTTGCCTTCCACATACATTGATGTTTTAGATCAAGTTTGACTTTGTCTTGGATCTATGAGTTAGCACTAATCATTCCCCACCTCTGGATTCATCAGTTACAGCGAGTGCAGTTCAGTGGGGAATTTTTGAAGGACACCTTCCAGGGAATTTTCATTGTTGCCTCATGTAAACTTGTTGAGAAGTTTACCTGAATGGGTCTTCCGTCAGGAGTCAGCACCTCTTCTGAAAGCTCCATCATCTTCAAGGCCATCAGAGCAATGGGTTTGGCATGACAGAGGCTTTTCCTGTGCAGCCCAGCTGCAACGCAGTACGCGTCTCCTATTGTCTCCACCTGCAGCAATCAAACAAATCAAATCAAACATACGATAATAAGGCAGAAGAGAAACCATTAGTTATCTGCAATCATAAATGTTGTTGAGAAAAGCATGTCAGGGAAACATCAATGAATTAAGCAATTAGATAACTGAGTGTAATCACAGCAGAGTTTGCAAACAGCTACAAACACTGACATCTCCCTCTTGGGGTGTTCATTATCACCACAGATGATCATTGAAATTAGGAACAACTGGAATATAATTACCCCACAAAAATAGAATGTTCAGTATTTCACCTAGAAGGTTCTCAAATCATCACCCTTTCAAGAGCTATCCTCTCATCTACTTCGAACTTTCAACAGTCTTAAAGCTTTTACATTTTTATTTTCAATTTTCCCACTTTCCTAATTGCTCGACACTTTTACATTACACATATCTGTAATTTCATGTCAGGTCTGGTTTTACTTATTGTTAAAAATTGCAGTGATAAAGATTATTAAATTTGCACTCCATACCATTAAATGTGCTAAGCAGTTTAAATACATTATCTTACACCCTAAATGGAAGAAACTGATAATATATTTGAACAATGTGAAACTGGAGGGCAAAACCCATCTACAGCTGTGAAATGAAATTGTTATTAGCCCCTGTGTCTAGTTTGCCTTAGACTGCTGTGACCAAACACTCCGACCACTACCAACTTGGGAAGGAAAGAGTTTATGTGACTTACATCTCCTGGCTCATAGTTCATCAGGGAGCCCAAGATAGGAACTCAGGGCAAGAATCTGGAGGCAGGAGCTGAAGCACAGGCCATCAAGGAATGCTGCTTATTGGTTTGCTCCCCTGGCCCATGCTCAGCCTGCTTTCTTATACAGTACAGAACCTGCCAGAGGTGGCACAGCTGACCATGGGCTGGGCCCTCCACCATCACTCAAAAACATAAAAAATCACCCGACAGACATAGCCACAGGCCAGTCCAATGGAGGAAATTCCCCAACTGAGGCGCCCTCTACCCAGGTGTGTCAAGTTGACAACTAAAGCTGTCCAGCATAGCCTGTTAAGGCCTTTCCTGCCCCTAGTCTAATTCCATTGTCAGTATCTATTCTATCCCAGCTTGGTGAAGACACACCTTTAATCCCAGCACTCAGGAGGTTGAGGTAGGCTGATCTCTGTGAGATCAAGGGCAGCCTGGTCTACACAGTGAGTTCCAGGTGGGCAGGGACTACGGAGACCCTGTCAAAAAGAAAATCATCTACTGTAATTAGGAATTGCTGTTGCTAAATAGTTAATACATTTACACAAGATGAAATCCTCCAAATTTCTAAAACTTTTCAGTGAGTCCATCAATAGTCCGTTCATCATTTCTCAGTAAAATCACCTTTTCTCATATCAGTTTCAAAGATACTGTCCATATATCTGTATCATGGCCCTCATCACGGGCTATGATCAGTGCATATCTGTGTATAATCAATATGAATTCCTGCCTAAGAGGTGAGCTCTTTAAGGATGGTACCATATCCTTGTAACTTTTGTATTCATGGTGCTTAGCATAGTAAATATAATAGTTAATAATGATATGCTCAGTGAGTAAGCTGTCAATCTGTTAACCATATTACAGTATCCGTTATTCTAATTATTGGCTTCTTTTCACTATTCATTCCATAAGCATCATCTAGACCTCTTCAGGGAAAAAGACCTCAATGACTCAATGATATTTTATCATGAAAATACCAAGAGTTACTGAATAGTCTATTAGGATCTAATATCAATAATTAAATTTCGTATGAATGCATTCTAACACTATAGTAATGAAAAGATGAACTGCTTAAATTACTTGAGCTCTGACTTAGAAATATTATGAAAATGCTTAAAAAGCTTATGAAATCTTCACGACCAAACTTACCATTCTGATTATCAGCATCTCACCACTTGAGTATAAAGAAATATGTGCAAATATGATTAAATACCCCTATACCATGTCACTCAAAAATTTCAGGAGGACATTTCAATTTGCCAGAAAAATGCAAAATATGTTATTCTGTAAGATTAGAAAGACAACATAGCATGAATTTGCAAAGAAAGGTTTTATTTCAAAGGCTAAAATTTACTTCCCCAAAAATCTTCCAAAAAGAAATACCAAGTAAATAAAAAATGTTGAAGAGTAACCATAAGCCATTTCTCCCTTAATAATGCAGTACCCTCTAGTCATCCTTCACACTGTCACATCCTTTTGTATTTTTTTCACTGTGTGTATATGTATAAGATGTGGATGCATGGTGTGTTTTTGCATATTACTTGGCGTGAGTGTGGTCACATGCATGCCATGCATGGTGCACCTGAGCAGTCAGAAGACAACCTCGAGGGGTCCATGAGCTTTCCGTCTTGTCTGTGACTCCCATCTTGTCATAGGAACACTGGACTTACATACCTGAATTTATGTGTCCAGCTTTACATGACTTCTGGAGATTCAATCTCCGGTTCTCATGCTTGCACAGTAAGCACTTTGTCCAATGAGCCATCCCCCCCAAGCCCTGACCATTTTGTAGTTCTACATATTTAAAAATTTTTATTGAGTTTTTGTGTATTTCATATAATATATCTTAAGCAAATTTAGCAGTTCTCATGCTTGCACAGTAAGCACTTTGTCCAATGAGCCATCCCCCCAAGCCCTGACCATTTTGTAGTTCTACATATTTAAAATTTTTTATTGAGTTTTTGTGTATTTCATATAATATATCTTAAGCAAATTTAGACCCCTTCCCACCTCCCCAGTCCCTATAGTCCCCCCCCCACCAGGTATTCTGTCTTATATGTTAAGTCTTATCCAGTAAACCATTTGTATCCAGGTGTCCCTCAGTGCAAGTTCATCCACTAAATTCTAGTCAGTCTATCTAGACTTATTCCCTTAAAGAATATCTACTCTCCCTTACCCTACAATAATCATTTGCCAATAGTTCCTTGGCTAGGGTTGGGGCCTGCTGCCTATTTTCCCCATTCTATGTTGGGTTTTTGTCTGATTGAGTCAGCATGGGTCTTTTGCATGCTATCACCATTGTTGCAAGTTCCCAGAGGCCTGAAAGCCTCTGTTTCCTTATGTTCATGCACCAACCCTAAAGTTTAGAGGGCTTTTTAGCTATGTGCTTTGAAATTAACCTGAGATTTTCAGACGTCGAAACTCACGGACAGTAATTTGCTGGTGCACATTATATTGCTTTGCAGTCAGTGTGAAGACGCCTGTTCTTGGCTCATGGGCTCTTAGAGTTTCTGTATTCATCATCTTCATCAGCGTCTCCAGTATCTTTTCAATAAACAAAGGGATTTTCTAAACATGCTTTTCTACAATTTGTACCACAGGCTTCATAAAGAGGGCTGAGTGGAGGGATTAGCTGGTAAACTGCTTGCCTTGAAAACACGAGAACCTGTTTGACCCTCAGAACCCACATAAAAAAGCCAGGTATGGCTAAGCGCACTTGTGATCCCAGTGCTGGGGAGGAGGGGATAGCCAAATCTGGGTCTTGCTGGCCCATCAGCTTAATCTGTTCTGCACGAGGGATTAGCTGGTAAACTGCTTGCCTTGAAAACACAAGAACCTGTTTGACCCTCAGAACCCACATAAAAAAGCCAGGTATGGCTAAGTGCACTTGTGATCCCAGTGCTGGGGAGGGGGGGGGATAGCCAAATCTGGGTCTTGCTGGCCCATCAGCTTAATCTGTTCTGCAGCATCTAGGCCAGTGAGAAACCTTATCTCAAACAAACCAGATTGATTGATCCCAAGGAATGATATCGGAGGTCAACCTTTGGCCTCTCATGCATACGTGTACACAAAAATCTGCACTATGCACACCCACATAAACATGCACATACACATGTGAACATTGCAGTTTCTCTTTAGGAGGGTAAAATGTAATAGTATGGAGAAGTTGGATCAATGTTATCAGTTGATATTCTACACAAATGTGTTAGAAAATAAATGAAGGAAAGATAAATATGTGTACAAATACATGTAATAATTTCACTAAGTTAATATTAAATCTATACATAATATCATGTAAATATTTCAAAACATTTAGTTTTCAAATATTGGAAGTCAGGACAATTATCAGAAGTGACAAGATCAAGATGCTAGGCATAAAAACACTTCAAACACATGTTTTAAGACATGGAATGCTAACAATTCTTTATAAACACCCAACACACAAGAGAATCAAAAGAAGCCCTAAAAGCTGTTGATTTCATAAACTAGGTTAAATTATGCTGCTGTAACACTCTGTCTTCAAAATCCTAGAGCCCTCAAGTAACAAAACTTCATTTCTCATTTATGTTACATGTTAATGCTGGTTCGAGGACTGAGCCTAGAGAAGAAGACATGTGCGGCTTCTCTTCCCTCCAGGAGTGAGGTTAACAAAGCATCCATGTAACAGACCGTCTCCAGGAAAGGGGTTCCAACTGTGCAGAATCTCTAAAAGCTTCCTCCCAGATATGACATATGTAATGTCTAATAGAGCAAGTGAATTGGGGTACACCTCATTTGTGAAGGGGCTGGGAAAACTCAAGCCACGTTTTGCACAGGAGAAACAAAAACATTTGGTGAATTGCATTCCTGTCAACACGAACAAATGATTACATAAAAATTTTCAAATGCCTGGACTGACATTGAAGTGATATATCTGTGTAATGCCATTTTTTCCTTTCCAGATGTATTCAGCACCTTCACCTTAAAATGATGAAGCACTAATCCCCTAATAATGGAACTTTCCATTCTTCCCTCCTCTTCCTTCATTGAAAACAACTTTCTATAATTTTAGTAGAAATACATGTATATATTCATAATTATGAATATTTTTGTGGATCCTCTTCAAAATAACTAGCTGCCTCAGGTTCATGAGAAACAGGAGATGTAAACGTGTCAAATGTGCTTGAGGCCATTTCCACAGTGATGCAAGTGGGCACTGTAAATAGACTACACAAAAACTGTTAGAAATCTGTGGTCTGGATTCCATTTTAATTGCCTCAGTAT